TTTTTTAGAAATTCTGTGTTGTGTATTTTAATTTTTCTGGTAATCAAATGAAGGCAAAAACATGAATATCTTTTATTCCAATGCAAATTAAACAAACCCTTTAATTTGTGTACATTCAAAATGCTACACAACAAAAAGTTACTGTTTAACGAGCAATGTCACGGAATTAGTCAAATATTGAATGAATAAATCAAATGCAATTCAGTACACTTCAATCAAACCGCGATATGGACTAGTGTATGTGAATATTAAATGGCAAAAATAATATTTAGCTAGTACAGACGACAACCGCGAGCGTTGCAGGTGCTTAAATAGCAAACTAGCAAACGAAACGCGCGTCTGCGCCGTTCATTCCGTCACATTCCGCGTTACACAGTAAATTCCGTTTTTATGATTAGATTCCGTCCCCATTTTCTACATCGCCCTACTTTTGCTAAGAAACACGTTCAACGCGGACGCACAGACGGTTGTCGTGGTAATGAACACCAGAGCAACCACTTGTGCGTCCGCACTGAACGCGCATCTCAAAAAGCATTTTAGGGGGCCCTTGGCTTTTGGGGGCCCAAGGCGGTCGCCTACCTTTTGCCTAATGGTTAAGTCCGCCTCTGGGCATATTAGTCATAATGGGCCACAACCAACAAATATGCCAGATCGTATCTGCTAAAAAAAATTAATAGATCAAAATTCTTTGATAGATTCTTTGAGAAGATTATTTTATTTTATTTATTATTTTTATTTTTTGTCAAGGGCACATCCATTTAAATGGGTAAATGTAGAAGTTAAATGTCAGCTGGTGGCACTATGACCATGACACACCTATGTGATCAGCTCCTATGAATACAACACACAATTTGTATGATCTTAACCATACAATGCACGAGAAGATATGAGACTCTTCATGTTTCCATTTATTGGCAGTACTTTAATCCCTCACCATGGAAACACCATTGAATGGTCAGACCTAATGACTTTTATGATCCTGGCCTCTAGAACTTCTATGCTTTGTGTAATAATAAGAAATTCTTTTAGGTAATAAGAAATTGTTTAATTGTGAAAAAAGCTTTAAAGTGGCTGTGCTCATTTATGCCGAATATTAATATATTTACAATTACGTACATACACACATACAGTATGTGAAAATTGTGTGTGTAAATGTGTACAAACTATTTGCTTTGCTAAATTTCGAATAAAAAAACCAACAGTGAATTCACTTTATTTAAAGTTTATTATGTATTTACAGTTACAGTTGTTTATTTTTAATTATAATTTTCTCATTTTTACAGCCATGGCAATAAGGAGATGTTCTCTTGTCAAGGCATTCAGCTCGCAGTTGACTGGTTTCTTGAACGTGGCCATCGAGACATTACAGTTTTTGTCCCGGCCTGGAGGAAAGAGCAGTCCCGTCCTGATGCTCTTATCACAGGTGAAAAGATTTGCCATAAGGCCATCAACTGAACAAATGTTATTTAAACTTGTCTGTGAATATTTTCCTTGTTAGGTTATATTAGGTAAATACTTTTAATGGTATCTGATTTTTTTTTTTTCAATAGTTATTTTTTTTATCGCAGTTAATCGAAAACATGTATCACAGCCTGTGACTAACTATATCTACCAATCAAACTATTTTTTTCCCCCCTTACAGATCAGGAGATTTTGAGACGTCTGGAAAAGGATAAGATTCTTGTATTTACACCATCACGTCGTGTCCAGGGCCGCAGAGTAGTCTGCTATGATGACAGGTTTATTGTTAAGCTAGCTTATGAATCAGATGGCATTATTGTCTCCAATGACAACTACAGAGACTTGGCTGTTGAGAAACCGGAATGGAAAAAATTTATTGATGAACGCCTTCTGATGTACTCCTTTGTAAATGATAAGTAAGTCTATTGAATCTGGTATTATGAGGAATATGAATGTTGAACACAAATCTAAATTTCAGTGTTTTCAGTATACATCAATTTGCTCTTTTTCCTCTTTATGAAAATAATAATAATAATAATCTGGGAAAAAAAATCTCTTAGGTTTATGCCTCCTGATGATCCATTGGGTCGACATGGGCCAAGTCTGGAGAATTTTCTTAGAAAAAGACCCATCATTCCGGAGCATAAGAAACAGCCCTGTCCATATGGTAAGTGTTTTTAATGCCGTTGTACAGTTGACGAAGATGCAAGCAGCTAAACATTTCATCATGAATCTGACTATGATATGAATGTTATGAGACTGGCAGGAACACTGACTTTTGTAGTCAAATTTCACAATTTTTAATTGAAAATATATTATTTACCTGAATGTGAGTAGCATACTATTATTTTCAACTGCCACAATATTATTTATATCACACAAATTATTTGAAATTGAGCTCTGAGTAAGCTCTGAGTAAATGGCATATGTTATTTTAAGCACGTATTGTGCATGCATTCGGGTACCTGCAGCCGCCTTTGCATTCCTGCACCTTTCAGTTAACAAATTAAGCACTTTCCCCCCCTTTATTTCCATTAGGAAAGAAATGCACCTACGGGCACAAGTGTAAGTTTTACCATCCAGAGCGTGGTACACAGCCACAGCGAGCGGTAGCAGATGAGCTCCGTGCCAGTGCCAAGAACTCCACAGTTAAAAGTGTGGTAGAGACGGGTCTCGTGAAAAGCCACAGTGAGCCTGGAGGCTCCCGTAATGATAAAGCTGGTGATGGTAAACGATCTCTGCCAAAGAGGCAATTGGACCCCAGTATCCGTGCCCTCTCTTACAGTGATGTGGAGGATAAGCTGTGTTCCAAAACTAAAGCAGACCTGTATAAGAACAACCTAGCTCTTCCTCCAGCTCCAGGTGGTCCTCCTTCCTGTCATGGGTATAGCCAGGACCTGAAAGATCACAAGCAGACTCAAGCAGAACCACACACAAACTGTGAATCTCCCGGTCTTTATTACTCCATGGTTAGGGCATATTCTGGCCTAAGCCTGCCCTCTCAGAGCAGTCCAGAGCGTCACTTCCTGTCTGATGCTGATCCACGGACCAGCTCAGTGGCATCAGATTGCAGCAGCGATGGCAGCATGAGCTCTGATTCTTATGGCATGGCAACCCACAATGAGCATTCTTGCATGAGTTCTCCTGATTTGTTACTGGATGAAGGAATCAAGTGTCATCACCACCATCATCATCGTAGAAATTATCAGTTACCCTCTGTTATTCCTCCAGGGTTCATTCCATCTCCTGCTACATCTAATCACCCAGGATTCCACCACAGCGTACCTAGTGTTCATAGTTTTGTTCCAGAAGACCAGCAAGACCCCCATTTCCAGCACTCTGTCTCCTACATGTCTCCACAACGCCAGCATCAAGTGGTAGGCTCCCGCTCAAGCTATCCTGGAGACTATCCTCCTCTCTGCCAGAGCAACACTCACTCCCAGAACTCTCCACTGGGTCGTGGCCTTGCCTCAACACGTGTGGACAGCGTGTCGGACTCCAGGCTTTATGAACACTCTCCATTGCTTCCTAGAAAACCCTACGTATCCCAAGAGCGAAAGACCAGCTGGGATCCATATTACAGACAGCACCCACAACAATGCTATGAGCCCTTCAGTTTCCAGGATCTTTCAAAGAACCGTGAACAGATGTGGCGGATGCCCTGGGGCTGTCCTTCTGCTCCTCCTCCCCCCCATCTGCCCCATGCTTTATCACACCAGCACCAGGAGCCACTTTCCTTGAGTCGTTACCAGGAAGTACGAGAGAAAGTGTTTACCAACCTGTGCAACATTTTCCCCACAGAGCTAGTGCAGTTGGTCATGGGGCGGTACCCTCATGTGACTGACGCCCAACAGCTGGCAGCAGCCATCTTGGCAGAAAAGAACCATGCTGGATACTAAGCGCTGAGGTCAAATGAAAATACTCTCATCATTTACTCACTTTTTGCACACATTGCATTAAAAGTATCCGATTTAAATTCTCAGCTTTGAGAAAGTTATGACCTTGTAAACATGGACACCATAATATTAAGCATTTTTAATTTTTTGTTGGCTGACCTAAGAGGAGAATATAGCTATAAAAGACATTTTATAGACTAGAAGTGTGAATGTTGTGATGTGTGTGTGTGATATTTATTTTTTTTTGCTATTTATTTTCTGAAATGTTTTACTTTAGGTTCATGATTATGTTCAGGTGAGCATGTAATGAATCACAAGGCACTTTCTATTGCTGTTTATCAAATTCAATGCAGTTTGGTAACTTATGGCAATCAGTAAGAGGAGATAGAAGGCCAGAGTATTTGTAGGTGTAGATGGTCTACAATAAAATCTATTAGGACAGCTTGGCTATTATATCTGTAAAGCTGCTTTGAAACGAAGCGCTATACAAATATATCTGACTTGAGAAAACAGATGTTTAAAGCATTGCATTCATCTGTGTCAACAGATCAAGCCTCACTTAAATGAAATGAGTGTAAAGGGCAGGACCCTCTTTTTTGGCTGAAAAAAATATTTCAGGAATATTTTTATATACGTTTGTTCATTTCTGAAAGATCATCGCTTTCAAATTCAAGGTGCTATCATGAAAATAGCTTTATATTTTTATATAGCCATAATCCTGCAGGTCTTTGGCTTTTCCTCCTCTTTGTGATGTAATGCCAACTCTCACTTGAATTATTTGCTTGCTTTTTTTATGCTTGTTTCTTCTTAATCACATTCTCCATAATCTAGTTACATTTAAATTTGGTTCTTTATATGCAAAAGTGGAGTAACTTGCCTATCACTGACTGCTTATATTGCCATTTTTATTATGATTTTGTGATGTTTTATTCTTTTACATATTGAGATAAATGTGTCAGGGTGTGCTTGCTTGTAATTTGGGAATGGGCTTAGGTATTCTGTAGTTCTGTCAGTGTTATCATAGGAGAAATGGTCTGAATGTAGCCACAGGTGTAGTATAGTGTAGTGTAGTGTAGTGAAGACAGCTCTGTCTGTGTACCTTAGTTTTAGTAAGGGACATCTCTGGCTAAGATTATGGGTGCATGCTACTGTATCCTGCTCTTGTTGAAAGCAACTAAGTTTGGGACCTGATTAGGTGCAGATTTCTTTCATGTTTTGCAGACTTCATCAGGCATTAATTATTCCAGAATTGTTTTCATAACATGTGACTTAGGGTAGCCAGAGAATACCTGTCCTTGTTGATACAAATTGTATCTTTTTAACTTAAATTCAGAGATGTTTATATACATATGATCTATTAAAAGTATATTCACTCACAAAGTTATGTACAATAGGTAGTACATGTATAAATTAAGAAATACATTTTATGAAGATAATTGGTTCAGGTTTTTGAGGAAGAGCATTAAATGCTTCTAAAATGAAGAAGGGACAGTAATTAACAAGCTAATTTATTTTATTTTTAAGCAAAATATTTACGATCGTATTTCTTAAAAAAAAAAAAAAGTAGGGTTATTGGAGTAAACGGGGACAGGATTTGAGCAACTTAAACAGTGATCTTTTTTAACCCTTCTATTGCATTGGGGTCAATTTAACACACAGCTTGAAATACTGGTTAAGATATTTACTACTTGAAATTTTTGGATTATTTAGGGTCATGAATGTGCATGCAAAGTTTCGACACAGATATTTTGGAAAGGCTGTACAAAAAAAATAAAGCTTTCGTGACCCTGATTGGCAAACGGACCCCCACTGGTTTCCATAAAAATCAGACTCAAAGTTTAAGAATCAAGATTCAAATGTTTATGTGAAATTGAGACTCACCTTCTGATTAATCTAAAGAAAATTCACTGTTTCTTCATAGAGTTGCGCAGTCAAAAAATTTGAGTTTGACCTCAATTACTAGACTGTTGCAGCACTGAATAGAAGCAGAACAGACCCATTTTACCCTTTCAAGGGTTTTGTGAAAAAGATAAAAGCAGTGGGAGAAACAAAATGCAATAGGTACAAATAATGTTAGATGCTATTTATACTTGTTAACTGCACCTCACTGTACAAATGGTCTCTTCAAGTAGCCATGACCAAAACATACATACATATTTTACAGGTAATTTTGGACAAAAATAAGTGGGTACATTTTGACCCCCAACACAGAAGTTGTACCTAGTTCTTGAACACAACAGGAGGTTCTGATCATTTACATACTATTCATTCTGGCCTTGTTCTGTTAAACATTTTTACATCTGAAATATAACTTCAAATAGACTTTTTCCAAAAACTATGAAGACAGATGTCATTTTTGATGCATTTAAGAGGGCTTAGTTTAAGAGCAAGGAATGAGCTGTTAAGCTGTGGTGGTAAAAATACTGCCTGAAATATGGGAACACCTTTTATTTTGAAACAAGAAGAGCCTTCCCTTTGGCCTAGTGGCACTGTGTGCCATTCTTGGCGGTGGTGTGGGCATAGAGTATTTGCCTCTACATGGCATTGTGCTTAAGACACATCTGAATAATCTGAACCATGTTCAGACAACTGTTTTCAATTAGATAAGTAATAATTTTTTTGTTTACTATCAACATACTTTGTATCACAAATGCTTCTGAGTACATGTTATGTTACCTTTAGTATTGACTAATATGTTTAAGTGTGGATAATGTTCTATAACAGCATCTATAACAGCAACAGACTGAATGTATTTTTGGTCTTTATCATTGAAAAACACATTTGGTAGGGATGCTTTATAAAGCTGGACAAGTGTTCATGACGAGTTGTTTGATGTGCATTCATAACTGATAATTGTTTTCTGCATACTACCTTTATATCAACAATTAATCAGCCTTCAATCGCCTAAGAATGCCAAGGTCACTCTGTAGAAATCATTGCAGTCTGTGAGCTCGTGATGCGCACGAAATAATGGAAAGAAGCGTTTCCTGCTGACTGAGATGCTTAGGTGTTGCTTATTAAGGTCTCAGTAATATCTGATGTGTCAGTGGGCTTTATTGCTTAAGGACCAAAGCAAGCAGTGAGTTTGGTAATATTTTTAATGGCCACTGCCAATGATGCTTTAGTTGTTCAAAGCATTGTATTACAAAGAGTAATAAATGTGTGGTGGTAAATATGTGACTTGTTCAATATGTTATGGATTTTGTATTTGCTGTCATCTCCAAATATGTATCTTTTTAGCCAAATTAAAGCTACAAAGAAAACTGAATTTGCCCTTTTCTTATAAACCATATTGTCCTTTTATTTGATGCATATTTTTGTTTAAAGTTGCTGAAAGCAAGAAACATTTTATCTATACGAGTAAACCTTTCATCGGTTACTATGGTTTAAAATCTCAGATGCATTATCCAAAGTATGCATCAAAACTAGTGCATATTTGGGTCATAGAAATATTGTACTATTTCAGGGTTCTTACACCTTTTCCCAATTCAAATTCAATCACTTTTCAAGCACTTTCTAGGTGCATTTTCAAGCTTTTCCAGCACTTTAAACTGTGGTGAATTACGCTTACACACACTCTAGAGTTTTTCTACTTTAAATCAGATGTTATTGTACTATTAAAAACCACCGATCTGGATTGCATATAGCATTGCATAATATAAATAGCCAACAAACAGTATATAAACTATAAAATAAAAAATACAGAAAGAAAGAATTAACAGGGTATCTGAAGGGTTTTTAAAATAAAATTAAAGGATTTTTAAGACCTGCACAAATAAAATAAATACTGTATGAGCGGGGTAGGGCAATGACTATGGTAACATATTAAACCATAAAATGACTGCAAAAAAAAACAAAGACAAACAAACATTATTTGCAGTTCAAATACAGGTTTTCACAAATAGAAACAGTTTTATAAAGTGACAAATCTCACATTTCAGCCTTTAAAATATTTTTAAGAACTAAAGAAAAGGGTTGAGTCAGAAGTATAAAGAATTATTTTGTTTCTAAACGTGTTTGATGACAGAGGATGAATTTGCATTTCCAATAAGCCCATCTGCTGTTTTTCAGAACAAAAAGCTAAGGTGCCTTCAAATCTCTCTAAAAAAAGATGTTTGTGTGCTTTAAATTAAAATAATTATTTATACTTTTGACTCATCCCTTTCCTTTATTTCTTAAAAATAGTTTAAAGGCTAAACTATGTGGTTGGCCCTTTTTTTGAACCGCATGAATGTAGCTTTCCCCCCGGTTATCGACTATACACAAAGCAGCTGTGCTATGTCTATGGTGCTCACAAATGCTGCTTTATCAGACATTATATGTCGGTGAGATTAAACGAAAACGCCATTGAAACTTCTCTGAAGGCAGTCAGCTCACTTTAGAGATGCATTAATATAAAAACACCCGCGCTGCATTTTGACTTTGAAATGTTTATTTTATTATTTCACATTAATCGCGAGATTCGGACAGTTATAAATATTTAGTTTAACTGAGCATGGGCATTCAGACTTTACAGGTGACTTTACATTTTAACCATAATTTTTGTATTTGTAATCAGTGTTGGGGGTAACGCATTACAAGTAACGCGAGTTACGTAATCAGATTACTTTTTTCAAGTAACTAGTAAAGCAGCACATTACTTTTTAATTTACAAGAAAATATCTGTTACTTTTTTTTATGTATTGATTGACAGCTCCTGGTGTCGCCATGGTGACAGAAATCAGATGATGTTACTGTAGTTCTAAAATTAATATGCATTAATTCATCTCACTCAAAAAACCCCCCACAGATTCAGTATTCCTCAAAATGAATAAAAATAATGCAACTCAGAATATGGCGCAAATCTGCAATAATTAAATGTTAAACAACTCTAATATCCTTTATGTATTTAATCCCATTCTATTAACCAATGTCTTTGCTTCTGACCTTCGATGATCCAGTTCAACCATACTAATAAGCAAAAATTACTCTAGACAAACATTAGTGTCTTTTTTTTATTGCTGAAGTGTGTTGAAATGTCTTCTTCTGCATTCTACT